CGTAATAGTCGAAATACAATATTAATAATGTCAGAACACATATGTATACCTCCTATAGGCCAGGCATTGTTCTAACTCCTACACGTAATCCATTGCATTTAATGCTCTCAAGAACCCATGAGGCATGTATCATTATTTATCCATTTTCACTCGTAAAAATACAGAGGCACAGAAAGGTTACATAGCGTTTCCAATCTCACACTGTTGTAGCAATAGGAATAGTGATCAAATATAGTGATGCTTGCAGCAGCCATTTATTTATTTATTTATTTATTTATTTATTTATTTTGGTTTTTCGAGACAGGGTTTCTCTGTAGCTTTGTAGCCTTCATGGAATTCGCTCTGTAGACTAGGCTGGCTTCAAACTCAAAGAAATCCCTCGGCCTCGGCCTCCCGAGTGCTGGGATTAAAGGCGTGTGCGACCACCACCAGGTGCAGCAGTCAATTTAATCCAATACAGTAAAGTCTATATTGCAGTTAGTTATCGGTATTATCTCCAACTTTATCATTACCAAAAGCAAAAGCACTAGGTGACACATACTTGTAATCCCAGTATTTAGGGATTTGAAGACAGGAGAATCAGAAGTTCAAAATCATCCTAGGCTACATAGTTAAGTTTGAAGGCAGCCTGTGATACAGGGTACTGAGTCAAACAAACAAACAAAACACAAAGTGAAGGCTAAGATTTCAATTAAGGTTTATCTGTCTCCAAAGCCAGGTCAAACAATTACAAGAAATATCCTATTCTCATTTTTTAAAAGAATGAACAGTCCAGACAAATAGAGTGCCGCCAATCAATGTATTGGAAGAACTAAGGCTGGAATCCATATCATCAACACAAGTAAACTACCTGGAACCCAAGTACTCAAATTCAGAATAGACTACAGTAAGCAATAATTTTTTTTCAATTTTCTTGCAACAGGGTCTCACTGTTTAGCTCTGGCTAACCTAAAACTAGGTAGACTAGAGTGGCAGGGACATCAGAGATTCACCTGCTTCTGCCTCTCAAGTGCTGGCAATATAGACCTGTGCCACTGCACCAGGCTTTTTCGTTTTTTTCTTTGAGAAGTTCATACATGAATACAGTAAACTGTAATCCCATACACTCCCATTTGCCCCCCTCCAACTTGTCCCGTATTTCCCCCAACACCTCCCCTCCTAATTTGGTATCTTCTTTTTTATTAACCTGATAAATCCAATTAGTGCTGTCCACATGAGCATGAGTGTGGAGCCATCCACCACACCAGGAGATATCTACCAAAGGCCACACCCTCAAAGAAGAGTGATTCTCTCTCCCAGGAAGCTATCAACTACCAATAGCATCCCCAGCATCTCAGTAAGGAGTAGAGCCTGGGGACCATCTCTCGAATCTATGTGGGAATTTTGATGGCTTGATCTTGTCCATGAGTACAAATTGCCTTGTGTACAGAAGATGGTATTTCTCAGCACTCCTCTCCATCCTCCAACTCCTTCATTCTTTCACTCTCCTCTTCTAAGATGGTACTTGGGCCTAATTGGGGGTAGGAGTGGAGAATTATGTCATTTAGCTTTAAGGGTGAACACTCAGAACTTGAACCAGTTATGAGTCTCTTTATTGACCACTGCCCACTGCAAAAAGAAGGTCCTCTGATCAAGGCTGAGAGCAGCCCAGATATATAACTATAAACACTAATATTTAAAATACAATCGTTTAGCCAAATAAAAATAGCAGGTTCTATCCAAGGACCTATGACCTCCCAAGACATGGCTTTATGACCAGGGCTACAGTATCAGGCATAAAATCCTTTCCTACAGTGCAGGTTTCAAATTCAATCAGAAAGTGGTCAGTTATCCTATAACAGGCATGCCCCTATTGCACCAGTAGGCACATTTCTCCTTGTAGATCAGTACAGTAGCATGCAGTGGCCAGGGCTGAGAGAAACCAGTGAACTTTGTATGCTTACTGTGGACAAGCTAAGGGCTTGGAAATATAAAACCTAACAGAGTCAAGCTTTTGACAAATTTTAATAAAAGCACCACATAACAGGAAAACCACGGTATGGTCATCTCACCAATGAAAAAGATGGGGTCATGATAAGATTTGGGAGAAGAGTGAACCTTAGCGAAATTTCAAAAGAAACAAGGCAGGACTGTCACAGGATCATCATTGGGTATGGGTCTGAACTGTGAACCCAGAGTTCTGCATCCTTGTGAACCATGGAGGAGATATGAAATGTTGTGCCCAGACAGGCTTTATCTAAAGCTCTATACCTGAGCCCCAAATCAAAGCAACTCCTGTGTGCCAGTTCCATTTATGCCCCCCCCCCACACACAAATGAGAAGTTATAGTGATGGCAATAGTGATGGCTAATACTAAGTGGCAAACATTTTTTCTTGTCCATGACTGTAGAGAACAAAATGAATTTTTAAAACACCATAGTCTCTCATGGTACAGCAAATCAAAATATAGGACTCCTGAACTGTATGAATAGAAAGTGAACTGAGGTCTAAAATTTAAGAATTGTGAATGTTTTAATGAAATTTTCAATTAATTCAGAAATAAATGGAGGAAGAATTGAGGAGTTTTAGATCTGTGTGTGTGTGTGTGTGTGTGTGTGTGTGTGTGTGTGTGTGTGTGTGTGTGTGTGTGTTCCAGACTCCTTGACTCCTGTGTGAACTTGAGTTTGGACCCCAGCGTGCTGGTTGAATAAAGCCTCTTACTGTTTGCATCATGCTTTCGCCTCTGCCTAGTGATTGGGGTGGCCGCATTCCTGGGTGGAGATCCTGGGTGTCTGAGCCTCCGGGGGTCTTTCATTATCATTTCAGGAGGGCTCTCAGTCCATGCTGGAATCTGGAGTCTCTAGTTTATTCTCTCATCCTACTGAAAAGCTTCCCAATGGTGGGGGTGACCGCAGAAGGCATCTACTATCATCTATAAAGCTGATATCATGTAATTCTTTTAACCCTAGAGGCACACCCAAACAGTCCCTAGGCATGCAAACAAAACCCCCAGCACAGGTGCAGCACACTCAGGGCCTAGGTCTGTT